GTAAAGTTAATTGGATTTCATTGCACTGCATTTAGCTTCTTCACTTTTGGAAATCATTATCATAAACCATTTAATACGGGCGAATAATTTCGTGTGGGTGTGTCATAGCACAAAAATAAACAGTCGTCTCATCGTTCGAATGATATTTCATACACTGTACTTATTTCAGCGAGTCCGACGACTGGATAATTGAAGTATTTGAGCCAACGAAAAGACTTGCTCCCTCAGAATTGGCATTTGCTATTAATGATTTCAAGCCAAACACGAAGAATACTGGTCTAAACATACCGGTAAGTTTCGGTGCCTGTTTGGATAGTTAAATATTAATATAGTCCGTATGCTGTTCAAAGGACAAACTATTGACGTAATGAATTATGAGAAAATAGTCGTGGCTAACAAACAGAGGAATATGTCAATCATTTGAGAATTATGCAGGTATGTGGTCTTGTTTCTCAGGTGACTGTCTGGGCCAGAGACGGCTTGCAAGGTCATACCGAGTTTGCTCTCAATGGAGCAGTCAGGACTGTAGAGATGTTATCTTCCTACTTTAACGTGCTGTACCCGATGCAAAAACTTGGTAAGATCATTCGATATTGAACTTGTAAGATTCAGCAGTTTTGTTTCCTTTCTTTCCTTTTTCTAAGATAGGTCAAAATTTAACTTTCCAGGGCAGAACTTTTAAAACGCAACGGAGTGTCTTTCGTATATTGACCTCAACTGACCTGTGGGAATTAGCAAATGATATCCAAATAACACCCATACCGATTGGTGTTATTCTGAAAATAAATAGACTAAAATTAATATTAAATTAACCCGGCATTAATCAGTGGCTTAAAATATCACAAACCCTGTTGTTTCAGATCTCATAGCGTCGCCAGTGGCTGGTCTGGATATGATGAGCAGTGGAGGGGTACCATGCATAAGTGAAAGTGACATCTTGCTAGACCCATCCAGCTCTGATGTTCGCACAAAATATAACATTGCCAAAAGGGTCATTAACAAAATTACGCTGGTGGTAAGGTTTTCGTCGGCTGAATTGGATCTGTGGTTTTATGTTACCATGTGTATACATAGTCCGTGTATTCTTTTTGTAAAAGCTTATGCTCTTCTTTTCTCACAAAATTCATCATCATAGTGAGAAGGAGCGAAACTCACAGTTTCTTGTACATGTTTATATATTTGGCCGTGAATTCACGGGCGTTGTTTTATATGCTTGCTTCAGAATTTAGCAATTTCACATCTAAGGAAAAGGGAGTATTTGCAATTCAAATAACCTACCATGACTATTTGAAAGATCCACTGTTTTTTTTTTTATTATTCCAGTGGTTTGGTATGTACGTAACGCCCGCCTGGTGGGATGAGTTGTGGGTGAATGCTGCAATAGCAAGATTCCTGGAAAGCGTCATGCTGCAATACATGGATCCAGATTGGAACGCTGTATGATTGATTTGAAAAATACAAATAAATGTTTAATACAACAATTCGGAATTCCTTCGAAAGTGTAATTGACGCATGTATATAGACTGTGCAAGTTTACCAAAATTTTACTAAATTTAATTAATTTTAATTAAATTTAATTTATTTTATTATAAATGTAAAAATTATGTCCCGTATATTTTACCTGCATGCTTATTTAATTATATTTCAATTGGTTTCTTTTCGTTTTTAGCTGGAGTTGTTTATTGACGAAGGAATGACAAAGGCGTTGGAGATAGATTCTCTCAACACTACGCATGCGCTTAACCTAGCGATCAACCACCCTGAACTGATTGCGGAAAACTACGACACTATTACCCTGGACAAAGTATGTATTCTACATTTGTATCGGCTGTATAAGAGATTTGAAGTTGCATAATGATGACATATATCAGTTAAAATATCGCTAATAGAGCTTTATCACGTGAACGAAGGTTTACTGACTTTTCATTATTTCTTACATTTTGTTGAGGGTAGTTGGTGGAAATGTTTTGAAGCTAAGTAAAATAAACACAAATAAGTATTATTTAAGCGAATAAAAAGTGTTTTGCCTGTTTCTTTTCACCTTTACCAGGGAGCAGCTGTCATCCGTATGCTGGCAATGCTGATAGGAGAGGACACCTTTAGGCGAGGAATAACGGTATGCTTTTTAAGGGCAATATCAGTAAAATTTGTATTTTAAAACTAAACTAAGTCGTTGATTACAAAACGGTAGCTTACAGTGTTTCGTTTCTTATCTTTAACCGCTGAATAAACTGCTGGATACGATTTGATTTTAAACACCTCCTGTTGTGTTATGTATATACATTGATTGTATCTTGATATTAAGTAGATTTAAATCCCGTACAAATTTTGATATTAACTTATCTTTTCAGCGTTTCTTCGATAATCATTCCTATGGAACTGCCCAGCCAAATGCCCTTTGGGAGGCAATTACCGAGGTATGACAGACAATTTATTTTTTTATTTGGAACAAGTTTAGTGAAGATACGTAGAATAGAAATGTTTAACAAAATTATGGCATAATGGTGTTTGAAGAAAAAGTTATCGAACACCTCATAGCTACAGAAAATATTAACGGAGGTAAAGATCTTGAAACACCGATTCCAAATACACCAATATCGTTCCATCTAACATTATTTTTATAATTTGATTTTTCTTCTTCAGCAAATCCGGTCTGAGGGCAAACACTTAAACGCAACACTGATTTTAACACCTTGGACGGCACAGATTGGGTACCCAGTAGTAACTGTGAATTTGGCACGGGATTCAACCATTACAGTCACTTCATCCTCTTCTGCGGAGTCTACCCCCGGTTTGCCCGGTCCACCTATTGGGAATGCTACTCAAGTGCATTTTGTGACAAATCCAGACTCCGAATATGGAATGGCTGCAAAGTAGGTGTAGAACATACTTTGTTTTTTTTAAAAGGAAAACGATCATTTAACTAGTCTGATTCGTGGAAGAATGTGTTACAGTGGTATCATTTTTGTTGAGTAACAGAAAACAAAACAAAATTGCATGTGTATCAATTAATACAAATGTCTATTATACACATGNCCGGCATTAATCAGTGGCTTAAAATATCACAAACCCTGTTGTTTCAGATCTCATAGCGTCGCCAGTGGCTGGTCTGGATATGATGAGCAGTGGAGGGGTACCATGCATAAGTGAAAGTGACATCTTGCTAGACCCATCCAGCTCTGATGTTCGCACAAAATATAACATTGCCAAAAGGGTCATTAACAAAATTACGCTGGTGGTAAGGTTTTCGTCGGCTGAATTGGATCTGTGGTTTTATGTTACCATGTGTATACATAGTCCGTGTATTCTTTTTGTAAAAGCTTATGCTCTTCTCTTCTCACAAAATTCATCATCATAGTGAGAAGGAGCGAAACTCACAGTTTCTTGTACATGTTGTATTTGGCCGTGAATTCACGGGCGTTGTTTTATATGCTTGCTTCAGAATTTAGCAATTTCACATCTAAGGAAAAGGGAGTATTTGCAATTCAAATAACCTACCATGACTTCTTGAAAGATCCACTGTTTTTTTTTTTTTTTTTTATTATTCCAGTGGTTTGGTATGTACGTAACGCCCGCCTGGTGGGATGAGTTGTGGGTGAATGCTGCAATAGCAAGATTCCTGGAAAGCGTCATGCTGCAATACATGGATCCAGATTGGAACGCTGTATGATTGATTTGAAAAATACAAATAAATGTTTAATACAACAATTCGGAATTCCTTCGAAAGTGTAATTGGCGCATGTATATAGACTGTGCAAGTTTGCCAAAATTTTACTAAGTTTAATTAATTTTAATTAAATTTAATTAATTTTATTTTAAATGTAAAAATCATGTCCCGTATATTCTACCTGCATGCTTATTTAATTATATTTCGATTGGTTTCTTTTCGTTTTTAGCTGGAGTTGTTTATTGACGAAGGAATGACAAAGGCGTTGGAGATAGATTCTCTCAACACTACGCATGCGCTGAACCTAGCGATCAACCACCCTGAACTGATTGCGGAAAACTACGACACTATTACCTTGGACAAAGTATGTATTCTACATTTGTATCGGCTGTATAAGAGATTTAAAGTTGCATAATGATGACATATATCAGTTAAAATATCGCTAATACAGCTTTATCACGTGAATCTGAGACCGAAACGAAGGTTTACTGACTTTTCATTATTTCTTACATTTTATTGATGGTAGTTGGTGGAAATGTTTTGAAGCTAAGTAAAATAAACACAAATAAGTATTATTTAAGCGAATAAAAAGTGTTTTGCCTGTTTCTTTTCGCCTTTACCAGGGAGCAGCTGTCATCCGTATGCTGGCAATGCTGATAGGAGAGGACACCTTTAGGCGAGGAATAACGGTATGCTTTTTAAGGGCAATATCAGTAAAATTTGTATTTTAAAACTTAACTAAGTCGTTGATTACAAAACGGTAGCTTACAGTGTTTCGTTTCTTATTTTTAACCGCTGAATAAACTGCTGGACACGATTTGATTTTAAACACCTCCTGTTGTGTTATATATATACGTTGATTGTATCTTGACATTAAGTAGATTTAAACCCCGTACAAATTTTGATATTAACTTATCTTTTCAGCGTTTCTTCGATAATCATTCCTATGGAACTGCCCAGCCAAATGCCCTTTGGGAGGCAATTACCGAGGTATGACGGACAATTTATTTTTTTATTTGGAACAAGTTTAGTGAAGATACGTAGAATAGAAATGTTTAACAAAATTATGGCATAATGGTGTTTGAAGAAAAAGTTGAAAGTTATCGAACACCTCATAGCTACAGAAAATATTAACGGAGGTAAACATCTTGAAACACCGATTCCAAATACACCAATATCGTTCCATCTAACATTATTTTTATAATTTGATTTTTCTTCTTCAGCAAATCCGGTCTGAGGGCAAACACTTAAACGCAACACTGATTTTAACACCTTGGACGGCACAGATTGGGTACCCAGTAGTAACTGTGAATTTGGCACGGGATTCAACCATTACAGTCACTTCATCCTCTTCTGCGGAGTCTAGCCCCGGTTTGCCCGGTCCACCTATTGGGAATGCTACTCAAGTGCATTTTGTGACAAATCCAGACTCCGAATATGGAATGGCTGCAAAGTAGGTGTAGAACATACTTTGTTTTATTTAAAAAGGAAAACGATCATTTAACTAGTCTGATTCGTGGAAGAATGTGTTACAGTGGTATCATTTTTGTTGAGTAACAGAAAACAAAACAAAATTGCATGTGTATCAATTAATACAAATGTCTATTATACACATGTGAACGAAAAATGTCTCTCATATTTTTCATAATCTGTTTTAGTCCATGCAATTGCACCTTACTTCTTTTGATCGAGCGAAAAATGTGAATAACTGTACTTAGAATTTATTGTTATTATCATTATAATTATGATAATTAATAATTATTTCTTCTTACAGCCAAGTGTGGTACATTCCCTTTACTATCACAACATCTTCAAATCTTACCTGGGACAACAGTGCACCGATCGTCTGGATGAACCTTAAAAACAGTAAGCGTTGGATAGAAAAACACAGTGTAGATATGGGGGAACTTTCATACCTTGACTAGATTTTAAAAAGAAGGAAATATATTGTACATATATTTTAAACAATAAGAATCAATTTAAGTCTAAGTTATTGCTTAAAACTATTTTTCAGCTGCCATAACATCTTCAGCTGTGGGCACCTTGGAGAAAGGGGGCTGGGTGATTGGAAATACAGCAATGGCCGGGTTCTACCGCGTCAACTACGATTTGGAGAACTGGAATAATATCCTAAATCAACTCTTGAGTGATTATACTGTATGTTTGAATGATTTGGATAATATGAGGCCATATTAATTTAGCTTAATTTAACTTAGCATTTGAATATAAACTAATACTGCTCTTACAAAGGCCTATTCCTCTTTATGATTATAGAACATTGATTGTACCGGGGTATGTCAGCTTAATTTACTGGGTTACAAACACATTTTAAAGTTCCATTTTACGGTTTTAAAAGTACATTTAAACTGGTAATTTGCAAAATGAAGTGTAACCAAACGTAACCAAACATACATTGTTTGTGTAACTCGATATACTCGTACCTGTAGTATAAAACGTACAAGTATTACCGAATAAGATTTAATAAGGAACAGTTAGAAATCACGACTTATCCCTGCCATCGAACGGTTCTCTTCTTTTTTCTTTAGAAAATTCACACCATTAATAGGGGACAAGTGATGGACGACCTTTTCAATTTGTTAAGGTAGTGAATAGTTTTGTCCTTTTGGTTTACCGTGGATATTAAAAGAACGACAAATTAAAGTTCAAATTCGTTAATCATCAAGAAAACACATCATTTAAGGAAAATGGCGTAAATTCCAATAATATAGCTGTTTAAAATATGTAAAATAATTACAGCACCATGAAGTAGTTGATTTGAACATTGGCCTCCTTTGGAAATAATGCGTTTCTCTGTTGCGTATCAATTAAGGAAACCATTTTAACAGTCATTGTAACATATTTCTCTGGTTTTATTGTTAGAGGAGATATCCGCCCAGTAAATATCGCCCTGGCCATGACATCAACGACATATCTCTCCAGTGAAACAGACTACATGCCACTCTCAGTGGGCATTCGTCATCTGGAGTACATTTCTTATATGCTGGCAAGAAGTGAATTCTTCGGGATATATAGGGTTGGTCGCTTAAAATTATTGTAATAAGAACTAAATATTTTGTTTTCTGAAAAATCTTAGACGTTGTTTGGCTTTGAAAAAATGTTATTCTTATGATACATGGGTTTACTTAAGGGAAATTTTCCCAGAAATGTTTAGCGCAGATATAAATATACAATAATTATGTTGCTTTAATTTGTAGGAATATATTATTAAACTACTTACGCCTGTTTATAACCGTATGGGTTGGACAGATACAGGAAAACAGATGGAAAGGTATAAGTTGCTATGTATTGTGTACATGATATTCAGAACTGGTTATGAAATTTAAAAAAATCATTTATAAATCAGTAATCAGTCGTCGCCAGTCTGTAACATGAAACTGGTATGTTTAAAAGGCCGTCATATTTTATCGCATGTTTTATATTTCATTTTTATTATATAGATTTGTTTTATTTTAATAAAATTTGTTTTGATATTTCATATTCAACTTGCAGATTCACGCGTATTAAGGTGCTAACGTTCATGTGTAGTCTTAACTACCGCCCATGTGTACTGAAAGGACTGGAGCTGTTTGACCAGTGGAAGGCTTCTCCAACCCCAGATCAAGTTAACCCGTAAGTCCACCTAACGTTAATATACAGTAAATTACACCAATAGAGTAGATAGCTTTATCTCCTCCCTTGATTAAAAGACAATTATGTCATATGCAAGACAGATTTTTAAATTTCATTCGGTTTCGGTGTCACATTTTTGAGGAACAAAAAGATGTTCACATTTATTAACCCATCTAGATATCAAGTGTGCGCGACTATATCTGTAAAGGGTTATAGGGAATGGGTAAATGTGAAAGAGTGATTATGCTCTGAAAATCACGCTGTTCGTAGTTGTACATTAATTCTATTCATACAGTTTGTAGGATTCCATACATTACGACAAACACTGCATTGATCATTGTAAATATTACCTTGTCTCTTTTTAGGATCCCCGACAACCTACGCGAGCCAGTTTACATGGCTGCTATCAAGTACGGCCCAGACTCCAACTGGGATTTCCTGTACGCAAGAAGCAGGCAGTCCAGAGTTGCCTCAGACAGACAGAGGATGCTGCGGGCGTGTGCAAACACCAGGACACCTTGGCTAGTCAACAGGTGCGAGTTTTCTGTAGAGAAGACATTAATTCCACATTGCCTTGAAACTCAAGGAGAAACTCTGATGGCAGAAAAAAAACATTTTCGTAGTCTACATACACTGTTACATCAGCCGATAACATATTGGTTCCATGTGATTACTGATGTAAGTTTTCCAATAAGATATGCTTACTTTCAGGTTGTTGAGATATACCTTGGACCAGACTCAGGTCCGCTATGAGGATGCGCCCACTGTGATGGCTGCGTGTGGTTTCACACCGGCCGGCAGAACCCTGGCATGGGACTGGCTGAGAGCTAACTGGCAGGCTGTTTATGACAGGTAAGCTGACCAATCTCACTTGTGTGTATAAAATCTGGGCAATTTTGTCTACAAATCATCAACTTCATCAGTTACTTTCCTGTGATAAACCTTTTTAGTAAAACCATTAGATCCACCTAAAACATCTATTGTTGAAAGACTTCAGGATCTGCCAAGGTGTGGGAGATGAAGCGATACATATACCATTTAATCAGTTATTGCAATCCTTTATAATTTCCTTCGATTTTCTAGGTTTGGTCAGTTATCCTACTATATGTCGGATATCATCGATAAAGTCACGATGCGATTCAATTCCCAATTTGAACTGTCGTCAGTAAGTAAACGTTTTTTTTTTCACATTTTATTTACAGACATGATTTATTTTAAATGCCCTAAATTTTGAATAATTAAGTAATATGGAAAAATGTGTATGTCTGTCTACTGTCGACATAGAGATTTAAGCACTTAAGACTGAGTTTAAATCTTTGTGCGTGAATTGCACTCATTTTTGCTAGGGAGTACTACATGTACAACAGGTATTGGTGTGGAAGGTCTCTCAACGGTTAACTGTTTTTTTTTTCAGTTGATCGACTGGATTAATCGTCAAGAGCATTTAGGTACGGGCACACGTGCGTTTGAGCGCGCAGTGGAGAAAACACGGGCCAACATCCGATGGTTGGAAAATAACGAAGCACCCCTCGGAGAGTGGCTTAATGTTGAGAGGACGAGGCCAACTAGAGACGGGTCACCAACTAGAGACGGGTCACTGGATTCTGGGGATCACACTGGCCACGAGAACCAAACCTTTGTTGATCCATTTGCGTCAAGTTGAAACTTCCCAATTATTTAGATTGTATTCTAGTCATCTGCTGTGATGATATTAGTAATAAATATGATAATGATAATGATATGCTATGATATGATAAGAGTATTTTACAGAGGTTGCGCTTTTAAAAACAACAGTGTAGCAGGGAGAGGTAATTAAAAGTATTAGAGACAATGGCCGAGTCTGATTTTGGCAAATCATCTTACTTATGTTGACCACTTATTTATGGAATATTTACAAAATCAGCAAGTTTTATACAAACTGTCAACAGTTCTGTTTCTACTGTTTAATGCAAGTTCTGATAGGACTGTTACGATTTTGCAATACTGGGAGCATTGGCCCATTTGGTCGTTGGCGTGGTTTGAAAATCTAGTCGTTTCACATTTACGTTTCTTGTCTTAATTTTCCTTTAAGCAGCTATTAATAAAAAAGCATTTCTATTATACGCCATTGTCACTTGGAAGTTTCGTCATGTATCTCGTCGAGAGCTGGAGTTATAGAACTGATTGGTTTTTTTTTTCTTTTAACGCTGTAATATATGCCACACGATGCCACACGACTACCGTTCCTCTTAACTAAGGAACAAACTATTATAAGTGGCAGGGTACCGGGTTAACTTTTATTCATAGCGCACTTTAAAAAAGTTCAAGTTTATGTTATCGTAAAAAGAAGGGAAAATGCATACAATAGCACAGTGTATTCATACTTCTGATACAATATTCCAATGGTGCATTCTAAAACGAGCCTACAATTATCTTATTAACGCGTATCCCGTCATTGTTTTGTCGTTTAGAAGGGCTTTGTAAATGAAGGCACTGTGCTTACCAATATTATGCTATCATAAGCCTAGTTTAAGTATAGACAGACACCGTTGATGTAAATCCAACAAACGCTTGTAGTAAAGGTATTACTCATTTTGTGTACACTAATGCACACTGAAATCTATACCGATTTAACAATAAACTATAAATAAACCCCCTTGAAAAAACTATACTTTCAAGTTTTCTTTATTGACAATTTAAATGAGCAATATCATGTGGCATACACATAAATATCTGGCAAAAACGATGAAGGGCGAAAGCATCATCCTTTATCAATAGATGACATTAATTTGACATTCAGTTATCTTCACTTTACTCCAGTAAATAAAAAACTTAGTTTTAAAACAATGTTGATCCAATATTAAATGCCAATTCAAAATTAAACACCATTTTTTCACTTATTTTACTACAGTTTATCAGTATCACTGAGCACAAAAAAAAGAGCACTAGCAAATGTCATACCAGCTGTAGCAAATGTTGTTCAAGTACACACTGTACCCATCAAGCTAAAGCCTCCTCTACTCAACGTGAAAGACATGAATAGCACCAATATTTCAAGCTGAAGGGAACTGAAATAAATGAACTTTTTTAGATGTTTACAGGATTTTAATACTTGAAGCAATGCGAAAGAGTGGCAGTGACCACCACACATTGCATGGTTATAAGATATTGCTTCTTTTGCCGTTTAATAATTTAAATTGCATATTCCATATACACTAATTCATAATAAAGCATACTATTTAGGAATACTTGAGTGTCCTGTTTGCCGGACTAAAATACAGACAGCAATCTAATACATGTACATACTCAGCTGCCACAGCTTTAATACAATGATATATGTCAGCAGTGAACATCACATAGTGTATATCACAACATGGAGAGACATCATAAGCACCTAATCACTAAAGTTCTGTTCATTGAAATACACTTGTATCAAGTTCAGAAAACCAAAGTGGGCTATCACACATTTACCTCTTGCTAAATAGTGTTCTAAAGTAATATATGTTACAACTCTTGTGCAAGATCTTAATAAGAAGTCCTCTGTTGTACACTACATTTTATAAAAGTTAAATGCATCCTGAACTAATGGTTACTTGAAATTTCTCCACCATTAAACCTGTTTCAATACATAAATATTAATGTACTTGGTACAAAGCTACACCAACTGCTACAACAATTTCCCCATCTCATGTCACAATTAACAACATACATAGATATATATACTGCAATAAATTAGATATGGCAAGTTCACAAGCAAAACAAAAGACATCACACAGACAAAATACATTAAATGCATATACAAGTATAAATATCAAATACAAAATGAAGCAACTTAGCAGCAAAAGCTGACAAACATCAACAACAATAATGCAGTGCTCCTACATATACCTAACATGTGTAGATAAGTAAAAAAGATTGTCATGGTAAATCCATGTACATGTATATAAATAACTGTAAAGCAAATGCTTGTTCAAAGTAATAGAACCCTTAATTCCTTTAACTAACAAGATATTTATATGAAATACACAGAGAAAAATATTTAGAAAGGAATGTCAACTTTGTTTGGTCCACATTAAGGAATGAATCAAGGAATGTACTTGTAATGTAATCTCCCACATAACCCAAGTGCCCTGTTTTATAAAATATCAAGATAATAATCTTACAAAATCTAAAAAGAATCCAAGAAATAGAGAAATATACTAAATGCATATACATAGTTTGATTTTTAATAATGCTTATTAGATATAAAGTGAATCTTTTCTATATAGGACATATATGGTATCTGTGTAAGGATTAGCTATAGGTGAAAATATTCACTGACATTAACATAGACTTGAAGTGTGTGTGTCTGTGTGTGTGGGGGTATTTAATTAGCTTATTAAAGTCCTTATACAGGTTAGCATTCATTAGTCAATGTGTACAGAAAATTTTAACCCTGTGCTTGAGAGAGATATTGTGTATATACATCAATACTTTAAATGGCCCACACAGGGTCATAGCTTTAGAAAACAAGGCAGCAAAGCTGTCAAATGTACAGACAAAGAACAGAAAATAAAGATGCAAATAAGTGAAAAATTAAATTTTCACAAAAAACTGTTAAATTGCCAGAAAAATTTACCAAACAGACTGTGTTGCCAATTGAAGCTGTATGTTAGACCCATGTTTCTTTCCTGTAAGNACTTCAGTGGTATATCAACATCCTTTTCTTCCTCCTTGGCATCCAGAGAACCATCATATGATTCATTGTCATATCCAAATGCTGTTGATGTTATTGCAGGCTGGTACTTCTTTGGTTTCTTGGACTCTACAGAATAATAGGTTTGCTGTATATATATTTTTTTCGTCAAATCCAATTGGTAATAGCAACTTACTAGTAGACCAAAAATATATGACCTGTTCCTTGTCATCAGAACCAATGCCATATACATGCACTAGACCTTTACCTTGTGATTAAATCCATGCCTGATACAGCAGACATTTCTATGCAATGATATTTATTTCTCACTGATGACAATAGCACCCCCAAGACATGGTAAATTACACAGACAATTCTCACACATAATGCAGTATCTTTAAACCCAAAAATAAGATGAATTTTATTCTTTCTGGAAGACATTCATGATGTATGCTAAATGCATAGTAGCTACCGGGTTAAAGTTACCAAAGCCTTACAACCCAGTGCACATGCTGGTATCAGTATGTATAAAGGAGCCTAAAGTTGCCATTTCTCCTGAACAGGATACTAGTATGTGAAGTCAATATCAAGTAACTTCCAGACATATTGTGTCATTTTTAATACTTAAATACATGAGGTGGGAGCAACCAATGTGTTAAGTGCCTAAGGACATATTAAAGATTTAATGGCCGATATGTCATTACTCCTACACCTATTCGAGAAAAAAAAAACACTTAGAAACTATTTGTTTAATCATTATTAATAATTTTTGGAATCTTCATTAAAAATATGAAGTTTAATCAGCTCATACCCCTGATAACTTCTCTTATCCTCCAGAGTCTGAAAACGATGAGAAGTCCAACCCCATCTTTGGCTGTACTGGGCATGACAATCTTTCTACACTCATATGCTTTTTCTTCTCTCTCTCTCTCTCTCTCTCTCTCTAAATATATTTATCCCTTGAGCATAATATATAACCATACCTGATAGTCTTCTCTTATCATCAAATGAGATTCTATGGTCATCTGTGTGCTGGTCATGGTCATCATGAAAGTCAGTGAAGACAGGCTGGGAAGTGGGTTTCTTCTTGAACCTTCCACCACCTTGCTCAGTTTTCTTTGTTGAGCTACTTTTTGACTTGAGTGCTGACTTTATCTCAGGAGCTAGAAAAAAAACATGAAAATACTCATATTTTATATGTTGTTGGTTACCATTTACAGAATCACCAAAATGAACAATTTTTATCTAAAACATAATGTATCAGTCACTTTTGAAAATTCTCAACCCAAACATATCTAATCTATCGATAAACATTCTGACTTACCTTGAGTGCTGGGCTGCAATCTGTCCTCATACTGGCTTAATTTCTCTTTGAGGCTACTTATTTCTCTCTGGATAAAAAAAGAATATTTATTCACAAAGAGTCATGAACAAACAAATATAATTATATCTATAATGATTCTTATACTGGATATTTCTAACCATTTTAACTACCTACAAAAACCTCCAATGTACAGTTGTACCCATTACACAGGTAATTTTATAGCCAATATTCCCCAAAGCCCTGCTTTCCTGACAGCCTACCTGGTCCCATTCCTGCTGTGATATTGCTTCCACTGCTTTACACTCAGCCTCTATGCGAGCTTTTCTTTCTCTAGAAAACTTCTCTATGGCTTCTTTTCTCAACTCCAATGCAGCACCTAGAAGACAGAAAATTTTGAACAAACAAACATCTGATGGGCATCTTTATCTATGTAGTTTTTTTCTAAAGCTATGACCCTGTGTGGGCCATTTAAAGTATTGATGTATATACACAATATCTCTCTCAATGTGCAATATTTGAGAAAAAAAACACTTAGAAACTATTTGTTTAATCATTATTAATAATTTTTGGAATCTTCATTAAAAATATGAAGTTTAATCAGCTCATACCCCTGATAACTTCTCTTATCCTCCAGAGTCTGAAAACGATGAGAAGTCCAACCCCATCTTTGGCTGTACTGGGGATGATATCAAAACTGTACACCACATAAATTACAAACACCAGCGTCACTAACACAGCATCTAGCACCTGAAAGGTAGAAAAATGATAAACTGTTAAATAAACTTATAATCTTTGAACACATTATCATAATAAAGAGCTTAAGGGAGCATAACTTCCACACCTTTATTGAAAGTAAAAAATAATAAATACATTACATGCACTTCTTTATAGAAAAATAAGAGTGACATTCATTGGAATCTTACCTCGAGTTTATATTTGAAAAAAGCACCACTCCTTGCAACCAACTTCAAAATAACCTTTAAAAATAATAAAATTACACTACTGTGAAAATGCAATATATACACTGTATAGACACACACACACACACACACTATTATCAAGTCTAAACTGTCAGAAATGCAAGAACCATGAAACTGTAGATAAACTGTTACAGCAATGCTAACTGTGAATACTTTCAAGATGCTGAGTTGTTTTTAATATATTTATGTTATAAAATGGTATTGTGCATCCAATTATTTCCATACCCAGATCAAAATGTGTTAGCAAACTATTCCAGTCAATAATGCATCCTATACAAACATAATAAATACATATGGGTGGCTACGAAAAACATAAGTAATTTTAAAGTTCAAATACTTCAACAGTTCAAAAGCTTCTGAATTAAAATTCGGCTCAGTTTCTTGATACCTTATTATTGGTCAATGAAAATGTCAAGTGTTAAGGTGAAACAGTTTTGATATAATTATCAATTGCCAGACACTGAAAAGTACAGTCATGAAATTAACATTTACAAAAAGCATTATTTTCCAAAAGTATCCTAAATCTTATTTCATACAATATCTTCAAAACTGTTGAAATTAGTTTACTTAGAAATAAGTAATGTTTTTTTAGCCACCCGATTTGTATTTTCTTATCATTATTTAAAAAAAGCAAAGTTACGACGCATACTAACCTCCAGCATAAACAGACACAAAATACAAAGACTGATATAATGTAAAATCTCTCCAGCTAAATTAACCTGGCTATTTGGTACTGGAAGCACCTTGTTTGTAAACCCTGCAGTTGAGCTTCCATTGATTGTTGAACTATGATTGTCCTCAGCCAGTGAGCAAGTGCAAAGTGCTGAAAAAATAAACATACAAGTTATAATCATATATTCATGAAAATGTATGATTTTTTAAAAGTTGCAAGTATTCTGCAGGTGTGTGTGTGTGTGTCCAAGTATGTGTGTATCTGTGTCTATGTGTCTATACGTGTGTGTCTAAACGCAGCTCTCATCACTACTCTCTTTAATAAATATCTAAAATGCTGGATATAATGTGCACATATGACTTTAAAATACCTACCCTTTCTAGTACCATACTCACCATGTATAATCCCAATATCAATCAGAAGAAGCATATAGATAATTAGACTGTCTAAAACAACCAGCACCAGGATAACACTGTTGGCAAGCTGACAGTGAAGATAATGGTCCAACCATTGTTGATAACTGAAATATGTGAAATAAAAGTACATTCAAATGAAATGTTAATGGTGGTCTTAAACAGGTGTTCGATTTCACTACATGTAGATGAACCATAATAATCGCGTTAAGCTACTGTACTTTAAAGCTCACTCTTTTTAACGAACAATTTGAAGTAAAATTATTACTTATAACAAAGCTGTACATATCAAAACATAAAACGTTGCCGAAACATACAGGACCCTTCCTAAATAGTTTTTTAAAGCTAACTCTTTACATTCATGACAAAATTAGAAAGCCGACATATTCACAAGTGGACCAAAGCTTCCACTTACGTTTGTTTCTTAGTTCCGTTTTCTACGTTGTCAATGGTGTGTTCCAACCTCCGGGAACCATCATCCCTACGTAAAGGTGTAATATAATGAATACATCTTTGAAACCAAAGCCATTAGATCTCATAAAATGAGAAATATCACGATTAAGAAACATAACTTACCTATCCGCCATTTCAGTGTGTCACATTTCTACCTTTTTATTGAAGGTCAAGGTGAAACAAGACAAGCTATTTAAGGTCCCATAGGTTGTGTATAGGTCATACATGAGGTTAGCTCTTTTTAAAATTAAATATACTTAGGCTAATTTGATAATTATGTTAAAAATGGTTAAACTATAATTCTATGTTTGCTAACTTTACTTTGTTTAATAATAACGAAATTATATTAAAAAGACCCAATATTGTGTTAGATGTGACACCCAAGGATGGCTTACAGTTGTCCCCACAGTCTTGATCACTGCCAAAAACGCAGTTAGAAGAAGCCAGGGCTAGGCTAGTCATTGTTTTGCAAATGTCATGGCACATGGCTTACAATTTGACAAATAACACACCTAATTGTCAGGTGGGCCAGCAATGCAAATGCCAGCAATCCCAATCCATGTAGGCCTACATGCCGTATATTTATTTTTACGCATTTTATCACATTTAATTGATTTTGAGAGTCTTTAGTCCATATAAAGTAGATATATTGATGTTTTATACGTTTCCTTCGACATTTTGAATTTGTTGAAAAAGTCATAACAAGATTCAAGGTTCAACTTGCTCCGAATTGTGTTAGATGTGACACGCAAGGATGACCGAATTGTAGTAGATGTGACACCCAAGAATTACCGTTTGCACACCAATTTCTAATCTTACTGTGGTCCTGCACAAGTTGCAGCAACCGGTTCGCAGGCCAACTGCCAGTCGTATCCGTGTTTGATCCAAAAGTCATATTTCCTGTCTTCTTAGTGCATATCCTGAAATGCTACCCTTATTTCCCAATTTAGACCTTAAAAACAATAAATTCACTAAAATAAAGTGCCCACTAGTGACATCGACATTTCCTTCTAAAATTAAATGTACAGGAAGATCTTTTAGGCCAACGTTAACGGGAATTTTTCCCTTAAGTTAGAGGGTTATTACGGAGAAACACCACTGATACCCTATTGCCAACGTTCACCGATTGATTCATAGCTAGCTGACGAAGTTGGCCCGACGTTGGCATAACAGCAGCTAACCGCCGATAGCAAAAGCTCATAACGACATAAGCCCAACGTTGGCGCGACGTCGGCAAAAGGTCGGCATGGTTATCGATAATATGACGTCGGCCCAACGTTGGTGCAACGTTGGCAAGATAGTGGCATCGTTGGCATAACAGCGGCTTACCGCCGATAGTAATAGCTCATAACGACGTTGGGCCAACGTTGGCGCAAAGTTGGCAAATGGTCGGCATAACAACGCAGACCACCGGTGGGCCGACAGCGCGCCGCCGGACACGCCGACCTGGAGCCGACGTCGTCTGCCAACGTTGGCCCGACGGAGGCAAAGTCGTCGGGCCACCGTTGGCGCGACCACTGTTTGCTATCTGGGACTTAGTGACCGGGCAGATATTAAGGATAACGAGTATATCATTCAATAAATTATGGTATACAACATCGAATCCAAGTGCAGGGGCGGCTCGAGCAAACTGAGCCATGAATCGGTAGTAGACTTAAATTGCTGCTTTTTTTAGCGAGGACAGAATACCTTTAACGGCAAATAATATTAAGTTTGTCCGCTTTATGTACTGATAATAAAACAACATGGATGGAGATTAAATCGTTTTGATTATTCTTATTCTTTATCCACATTCACTGTTTCACCTATTCATGTGTAAAGGCATATTACATGATAAAAAATGTAAGTCGGCACAGCATTATGAATACACTGTAATAATTTCAAGAACCTAAGAAATATTTAAGCCTACTGTCATACATGTATTCAGTATTGTGTGCTTCTCATTTGTTTAAAATGTATAATCTTCAAAATATCCCTACATGTTGGTTTACTTTAGGCCTAACTGATAAAAGAAAATAAGTTTTTCAGTGTTAAACAGTGTATGTTACTGATGAAAATATTGATCTTTTATGCCATGTACGTGTTTCTCTCCCATTGCACACTTAAGAGTCAGTAAAAACATATTCCACAACAAAAGCAGCTCATAATCTCTAAGTTTATCGGCTAGTTGATAGACCCTTGGTTCGATCAGTCACTTTGCCTTCTTGATTCTTTTAAATATAAATCGCCTCTCGATCTGATGTGTATCCTGTAGGTGCAACCTACCAATGAAAAAAAAAAAAACGATAGAGGTAGAAAAAAAGACAGGTATATTTTACATTTTTTTTCGTTTAAAATGGGATCAAACGATTGATAATTATTATGCCTTAATGTTAAACGATAACAACATTGCTGATAAAGTGATGAACGCGCATAATTAACACTTAAGCTAAATTGTAAGTAACCAATTGCAATTTACACAAGTGAACGAATTTATTAAAATGCAATATGAAAGTACCACGCGTAGTTCGCCAGCCTTGCCGATTGTTACGTGATGTTTGCTGCCCCGAATAAATTCAATCAAACCTTGCTTTCCATTGATCATATTGTGAGTGATACTGAAAGAAGGAGGATAAAAATGTCTCAGAAAACAATGTAAAACCAAAACCAGAAAAAGAAACCAGGAAAAATATTTTAAACGATTATATCGCTTGGGGTAATTGTTCTTTCTCTCTGTGATCATAAATAACATTATACTGTCTACTAACATATAAGATATCCGTATAAGTCTACGCTTAGGGTACATGTATATATACCTTCCTTCTCTTGCAATTTCCACGGCACGCAGTTTCTTGGCGGCAACAGCTATTTTTACAATGGCCTCTATTACATGTCCGCTCCGCAAAATAATGTCGCCCTAGAATTGTAATTATATGATAAACAAACTAAACAAGGTTATCTATCTATTTTCCGGCATTTTTCTATTGACATAGACAATATCAATATATACTCACTATTAAAAGTTGCAATCACCTCACCTTGTTGTAGATCCTATTGTTGTTTCTTTCAGAAGAATTCGTGTGGAGTACAAAGAAATCATCGGACAGTTCGCTGGTGGTGATAGCTGTAAATCACAATTTATGGCTTGAAGATACAATAAACAATGATCGATAACTGGAATCAATATTGAGATTTAAATTCTACTGAAAATAAGATTTAACAAAAGCACGATGTTCTTTGTGCGCGCGCCCACATGCATTTTGATCATCCGAGAACCTCGATCCGAGTGAGACGATACATGTAGAATGATAGCCTCTCATTAAAGGGCCTATTCATTAACACATGAATTGAAACGGTTAACTGACCTTTTAAATTTTTGTGGAAGATTTTGTCCCTGAGTTTGTAATTATATCGACTGAGGATATAAGATGCTTTATCCGTGACGACAAGGATACGCCTCCTGGAGCCGTAACCGTTGCGGTTATACTTCAAAACCTGGGACACGTACTGTAAAATAACTAGCATGGTATTAACTGTAAATTAAATTATCAATTTAATATTTAGAATAAACTTATGTCATAAAAACATGTCTAAATTATCTTGAACACTTAAAACTGTGAAGTATAAAAAACTTTCTAAATCATAAAAATGTTCTATTTCATTATTAAAAATATGTTAAAAATTATCTAACAGCGTGTAAAAAGTTGTATGCACCTTACCGTCAATTAACATATACATTGGAAATGTAGTGCTTCATCGTACGCGTGTCACATGTACTAACTGAGAGTAACTTACCCTAATTGCTTCTTTTCTTTGCTTAACGTTAGCAATAAAAACGTTATTCAGCATAATTTCTTGGGATTTGGCTGAAATATATAGACATAGTTCGTACAGCATGTATAAAGAAACCAACTTTAAATTTTACTTCAAATAATGGTATACATTTATTTTGACTTACCATACCTCTGATTATATAGTCGATACAATATTTGCCTTATTTAACAAAAATGAAATATTGCAAAAATATATATTTAAACCTGGGATATCACACAAAATTAGGATGATATTATCTCAGTTGATAATATCAGCTGAAAAGACAATATCAGTCAAAGATCAACTTACACAATCTTGAGGTACGGAATGGTTCTGGGATACTGTTCTCATAACCCTCTTTGTTTCCTTTGAACAGTTCGTGCGCTATCAATTTTTGCTCTAGCTGAAAAAGGTCCACGTTAAATAATTCAGACGTTTTGAGGTTGTGCCATTATATGTATGTGAACGAAAATAGAATTATGACTTGCAAGAATTCGATTGCCTGCTGTTGTCAGTTTCTTGTTAGAACCATGTGCTTCTTGTTTGTGGACAAAGAGTTAGACAGTTGAAGAGGGATTTAGCGATTTGAAGTATTTGATTGTTGAATAATGGATAAAATCATTCTTTCGTTGATGAGTTAATTTTGGGTCCATCGCCGGTCGCCACTTTGTCAACAACAAAACCTACAGTACATACAAATAAGTAGATTTACTTTTCAAGTCCAGCGAACTTACCTGTCTCATTCTTTTTCTATCCTTTTTAAGTTGTAAGCAGTATTTTCTAATCAAGTTTTTACGATGCATTTTCTGCAGCAGACGAGCGGTCTGAAATATCAATAAGGCGTAAGGAAAATGGCGGATAGAAAAAAGGAGATACAGCTACAGTATCTCATATCTGTCAATTTTTCCCCTTTGCTTTAATAGCTTAAGCACAAAATTAAGGTATAGTATTAGTAAGTATGATAAACTGCCCTGATTCATCACATGCAGATTTGGGAAGATACCATTATAAGCGCAGCGCTTATTGAAAGAACGATGCTCATTCTATTACTTCTAAACAAGCAGATCGACATGCATATGAACGCAATTCGACTAACTTGAACTTTTTTCGCACAAAATCACTACATCCAAATAATATACGCCGGTTGATCAGTAGAATAATCAGTCACTACATCCCAATTGATTAAGCCGATTGATCAGTAGAATGAACATTTATTATTTTAATACAACCAGTCTCTATGAATTCTAGACGATATATGTATTGTCCAGAAAAATACAACACATTCGGGCGTGATTTCACTTACAGTCTCCATAAAAGGATGTGTTGGCGGCCATGCGTCATCCAGGAAAGATGTCGGCAGCCTATCTCTGAGTCTCCTAATATAATTGATGCGCATATGGTGGATGAAAGCTTTGTTCTCTGGGCAGAGTTCGTTGTGTCGGTTAATGAACCCTTTCACAAATCTGAGAGATGGAAACATTAAGATATCTAAATCCTGTACTTTGATACAAGTATATTTGTAAAATAAATCATTTCCATTTACATGTATGCATACATGTAAACTGACGAACTGAATTTAGAAGAATGAATTGATAATAATCTAAAGAATAATAAATAAACCCAAAGGCTAATAATGTAACTAGGGTCAGAAATGTTTTTTTTTCTAAAACGCTTCTTGAACCTACTTTCGAATACACAATGCCGCACGTTTTCGTCTTTTGAGCTCTTGCCGTGCCAGGTAACTCCGCCAGTGAGCGGCTATGATAACCGCTGAAATAAATATTTTGCCAAGTTTTAAATAATTATTCTGAATAGGATTCTGAAGGTGAATACCTCACTTTATGCCTATACTTACATCGCCTTTTTTTCTACTTAAAAAAAGGGAAGTATGTAATACTGCTTCAAAACAATTTTTCAATTTCAACCATGACATCTTACCTGCCCATTTCATCTTGAGAAACTTCTGCCTGTAGTAATATGCTCTGAAACAGCACTGGATGATACTGGCTAGTGACAGAAAATAGGAGCAATGGCTAAATAACATTTACACATGCATTTAGGTGTTTTCACTAGCTGGGTGTGACACATTTGGGAGCACTAAACTGAACTTTAAATCAAACAAATTCACCAGGCTCGTGTAGGCCTAAACTTAAAACAGCACAACGTTTTAATCTGACGTCTAATGTTCTGTGATGAAAGATGTAATAACAATAATAACAACTGAACTTTTATTTGATTTAATATTTCATAAGCTATGCCACTCTCAAGAAGAACGAGCTCCGTCTTTCCACTCACCAAATCGGTTCCTGGATTCTTGCAATACATCCTCAATTGCAAACAGCGTTTCTGGCAACCGAATAAAAATCTTGGTCCTTGAAATTGATAATACAGGTAGAAAATAAATAACTCTTTAAATGTCGAAAGAGGCAAAATTTTAACCCAATAAATCAACATACATTTTCATACCAATTTACAAATCAAATCATACAGGGAAAGTAGGCAAGTACCTTTTATGCATATCAAAATTTCTACGCAATTTTCTCTCAATAATGAGTGACAAAATACTTCTCCTCTTTTTAACTCTTTTACTTTTTTAAACAAAGACCATTACACGTGACTTGACTCACTCTCCCAGTCTGAAGTCGTCTTCTTTCATTGGCAGATACTTCACAAGCAACTGTGTACCATGTCTTGCAGTACCATGGAACACGGGCCACGTTTCCTTTGATAAGCATTTGTATCTAAGTTAGAAAAAATACGTAAAAGCAGCTTTATCAAGCTTATAGAAACCCCTAGTGCTTGATTAAAAAAAAAACAAATATACTAAGGCTTGCAAGATTTTTTTATTTTCAATGGCTACTTACATCCATCAAAAAAAAATCCTACCTACCTTCTGAAGAAAACTTCGTAAGGCCGTCTGTAAGCAAAGCCCGCTCTTCGAAGTCGGACATTTTCCAGTAAGCCTAAATAGGTGACCTGGTGTCTTACAAGCCTTTCATCAAAAGTGTCTGAAATTTTCAACAACTAGATATTATTGTTTAATCATACTCACTGCCAATGGCACGCTATAACTTTTGTTTCGTGCGTGTCGAAATGATGAATGTGACATCGTTTTAGGCACCGCGCATTTGATTTCACGCACCAAAAGATATGTTCAATTTGAGTGCAGGAGGCTTTTTCAAGCTAAAAATAAGAGCATGCAATTCACACCAAAATGGAATCTGAATATTATATTAAGATGTTACGTTAACACTCTTTCTTACATGCCCTCTTGTTGTTATTAGGCTTGATGCAGCGGACGTAACATGGTTGTTTAGACATCAAAATGTCCATCAGCTCGGCTAGACTTGTCCGGAACTGGGACCCTGCCTAAATATAACACGGGTTTTGCATATACGCATATATGTGTCATCAGCTTGGCATACATGTCAAAGTAAAAAAGAACACATGAACAAATCTTTTTCTCCTTTTTGTACTGGCTAACTGGAGAAACATTTTGTTTCGATATTATCTTTTAAGTGAATTATCTGTACATGTTTTCAAAATCTAGAGCACATGCACATACAGAAAATGCAAAAAAAAAAAAAAAAAAAAAAAAAAAAAAAAACGGTTATTGACGGATGCTACTTGACGATGAATTAAATCTAAGAAACTCGCGTTAGGGAAGTGTCTCACTTACCGTAACAGGTCTTTTCTTGTTGTCGGCACAGATTTCCTCTTTTGGGAAACAGTCGGAACTCACCCTGTTCTTTGACTCACTGATGACCTATGTATGAAACATAATTTGGTGTAAAATACACTTACAAAGACCGATATAAAACAGGTTTATAGATGGGATTTTGACAAATGCTAAATATAATCTTTTTTGAGTAATAGATTTCGTATTATAGTAACTTGATGCATGGAATTCTGTCTCGCGTACCTCCTTCAGGTTTCTAAAGAGTAGGTCATTGTTTTTGTCCATGAACCCACGTAGTTTGTACGTCACATCTCCGGCGTAGTGCAATATCCGAAACTCCTAGAAAATTAGAAACGTACTGGTTTGGTAGAGCTTTTGAAAGAGAAGCATAATTAACTATTTTGCCACAGTCGAATTACATTCCATCACAACTTCATATAAAGAATGAATCAATTTTTTTCTCTTGCTGAATCAAAACAAATCATACATACATAATCAGTAATAGCCAAGATTACTTGAAAACATTATATTTTATAAATATATATATATATATATATATATATATATATATATATATATATATTCATAAATATGTACAAAATAAAGATCGCCTTGGAAAATATTACATTTAGAACAGGTTGTTTTCCACTTACCCCTCTCTCTCTCTCTCTAAGATATCTAATTACCGTTGCTCATTGTTACAAACTGAACATGATGGTTGAAAATGTTTGCAAATCAAAATTGATAGAGAATGTACAAAACTTACGTCCTGTTTAAGTGTTCGTCTAATTTGATATTCTGCTGTGGCATGGCACACAAAGTGGGGGTGCGTGCCAAACGTGTCTGCAAGCTTTTCTAGAAATGTGAAATCAGTGGCATCCCCCGGTCTCAAACACTCTTCGTCCTAGAACATATCCATACTTATTTTTATAGAACGTCTTATTTTTTTAAAGAAAAGTATTTCTGCAATGACACCTAAATGCAAAATGTGAAATTATGGTAAGTGACGGGACCAGTTCGCAACAAAGCACGTATGAGTAAAATGGTGCCTATTAAAACTGTATTGCAATACAAATTCGCTGTGTGCAGTGGCATTTCATTGTTAAAACACTTCAGTTAACTAGTAATAAAACAAGCCTGTAAAAGATGGAACTGCACGTAGTTGACATACCAAAATTGCCATGATTCCTACTGGCTTAGCGTCGATTAAGTCACAGATGATTTTGTTATTAAAGAACTGTACTGGTTCCCACTGAAATACATTTACACATATAAAGATACAAAACACTGATTACCATGATATGAAACGCAAACATGACGAAACATACAAAAATGCAACACTCTCCAAGCAGAGGTACAAACTGCTTAGAATTGTTTAAAACTAAAACTAAACATCTATGATACACCCAGAGACCATAAGAACTTTAGTATATGCACTGCCCAGGCCTGTATTTAATTCGTTTCCGAGCAAAATGAGATATAAAAATAAACGACTACATAACAAAATACACTGTAAAGAGTAATAAATAAATAAAATAGACCGTACAAAAAGAAACCTTGAGTAAAAGGTCACCAACTATCATGATCAATCATTTCATGTTGTGTTGTACTAGTAAATATCTTTCCAAAGCCAACTGCTCTTGCCCAGCACTTACCTCAATACCTTCATTAATGTATTCATCTTGCTCTGATTTCAGGGTTAGGGTGATGAAAAGCTGCTGCAGCTTCTCGTTACAGTAGTTGATGCAAAACTGCTCAAAGCTAAAAGAATAGGACAAGGGTGGATGCACAGTGCATTTACCGGAACACATTGTACTGAAACACACTGATCTTCATCATTGCTGTATCGAGGAAGTATGAAAAAAAAGTGTTGGGCCCTGAGCCATTCCTCTCTTTGATAGATATTGGGACTGGATCTCCCATTTTTTCTGAGCACGCTCAAATGTACGTTATGCATTGATTTAGGATGATACTTTACGAAAACCATTCATCATGCGGATTGTTAAGAGAGAAAACTAAACCAACCTGTTGTGAAGAAATACTTCAAATCCGTAAATGTCCAATAACCCCATAACTGGCTTGACCTCTTCGTCCTAATAACACGAGCAAAAAATAATAATAATAATAATAATAACAGAATAACGAACGACATAATGACGTTATTGTTTTTTTCTTTTTTCTTCAACTTATCATAATACACAGGATAGTTTAATAAAAAATATAGTTAGGCCTGTCCGACCTGTAAAATGAAAGCAAAACAAACGAAGAACCAAAAACAGACACACCTCTTTGGCTCCTAGTGAATCATTAATTCTTTTGACAAGCCATGAAAAGAGTCGGTCATAAATTCCTTTCGCCAACGCATCTCTAGCGTGAATGGCTTGTTCTTTTGTCAACGGGGTCACCACCTGTAAACAATTTAATTAAGTTTTATAACATTTGTCTATTTTTTCTTTTTTCTGATAACAATTATTCATAAATGAACTGCTCTATTAGCCTACATCACTTTCTGTATGGGAAACCCGGCCCGTTGGACAAATGCAGTCTACACGCGGCCTGCAGCAATTGACTGTATTTTTCAGTGAAACTGTATGATAAACTTTTTAGATATAACTTATAGTCATAAATAGCAAAATACACTAACCTTTTCTCCTCTGACATCTATAGTTCGATTGAGCAAACCCCGAAGCAGTTTTTCCTCTTTACAGCCCAACAACTAAGTGAAAAAGAAACGCTCCTATAAAATCACATCCAACATGAATAATATGTAATTTGTATAGGGAAATTTGTCGAATATCGATGCAATCCAGCCGAGAAACCCTGTTAGCTAACGTACCTGACTGACGATTTCTACTGGGACTTTATTCATGACGTCAGCACTGCCGCCTCTCTCTGATGCAAACTTCATATTCCCGAGATGCATGACTGCTGCGACTACTGTAAACAATTCCTAAAGCAGAATCAAACAAAAATATTAATGTTTTTAATGTGGACAAATATGAATACAATTGCGACAACGAATTGTAAGATTCACGACTTAATTGATTCACAAAAAGTGCAGTCGCGTTCTATTAAACCTGTAGTAAGTCCTTGTAAAAAGGTGCGTTTAACGTGATAAGTATATCGATGACGACATGAAACATATTCAAGGATCACATTGCTGCTAAATCGAAGTCATACCATCTGGTCACTCTCTTTAATCTCGCATATTTCCATAGCTTTTCTCATCTCTCCGAATTCTGCGGCATCGTCAATTGTATTGACCGAAATACACTGCCCCTAAAATGATATTGTGTGTAAAAAAATTGAAAGCAGTATTGCATTTATCACTTTTCTGACCGGCATGTGCTTATTTGAAAATGAAAAAGGAGGAATCAAGAAGCAGGGTGGTGGTTTACAATATTTATTATAAAAAGCTACATAAGAAGATAATGTAAACTTGTATTCAGTCTAACACAAATTTAACGATAAGCGAGAATAGGTTAGAAAGTCAAATTGCAATGCAATAATGGAAGGTGGCTTAGCATATAAGAAAGTTAAGATTGCAATGTATAACAAACTGAACAAATGACAAATAAGAAATATACATGGGGCCCTGTAGGAAAACACCTTGTGTTTTATTTCTTTCGAAATTTCAAAACTGTTTTAACTGTTTTAAAGAGAAGAAAATTTTCACGTTCAATGTCGTTGAATAAAATCTCGATGTCAACTAACCTTACAAAGAATCGCATACGAGTTTGGATCTTTGTGAAGTCGAAGATGATCTAATAGTTTTCTATCTCCGCTGGCCAGCAACTAGGAAGAAAATGTAAGAATTGGGTCCTTGCTGTTTTCTTAGAACATGTTATGCATATTCACAAGCAAGATGGCCTCGATATCTTTAATAAAAACACAATAAAAACCACCTATTGTATTACTGAATCGAAAATAAGGTAAAGTACAAAGTATTATACCTGATAGAATATATGGAAATTTCTCTCTCCGGTTGTTTGGTTGACAATTCTAGATTTTTCTAGTAGGTAGTTGAGGATATGACCGCCTACGGGATGTCCCTGAAATGCCACAGACTGTCACTTTGCACACAGCTGACTGAATAGATTTCCTGCGATACATGTATAGATCTACAGGGTGGTCCATAAAAAACGACCTATTCCCCCCCTCTAAAAGATGGTTCTAATGATATTGCCCCATTATATTTTAGGTGATATAGAGCAGAGCCCCAACAATTCTTCTGATATGTATACTGCCTGTTCAGATCCATATTGGTACCAGAAGAATTGTCTGGGACTCTATAAATACTGAAGCACTATCATTAGAAATATTTTTAGAGGGAAAACAAAAAAGGTCTTTTTTTATGAATCACCCTGTCTTTAATAATATTCAAATGACGTATAAAATGACATGTGCAGAATCCAATCAGGCACAAAGGCCTTTATTTTCGACTACTTAATTTTATTTATTTAGAAGGACGTTACAAAGGACTCGGTTTCGCGATTCATCCGTGGAATTGTATGCTGCTCATTCAAATAAATGTTATACGAATGTGTGCAGTTCTTTCTTTGTTATGCTTTTTAATTCATAATGCTATTTGTATCTTAAGTTTACCGACCTTGATACTGAACTGTATGTCCATGTACTTGCCAAACCGACTAGAGTTGTCGTTTCTCGTTGTCTTTGCGTTTCCAAAAGCCTAAGGAAGAGAAAGAATCAATTCCTAAAATAATTTGAAAATAAATATAGTAATTGCGTTTTTACCCGGAACACATTTTTGTTTCAGTGTGTGCTTGCACTTACAGCTTTCAAACACATGCTATACATACATGTAATAACTGGAATTTCAACATATGAGTAGACAAGTAAACATACAAGTTAAAACGTTGCTTACTTCTAGGATAGGATTTGATTGTAACAGCCGTTTCTTGACTTGGTCTACCTTCACTGTGTGTGGACAGCTGGCGGCTATATAGTGCAAGATTTTTTTGGTAGCTTCGGTTTTTCCTGCTCCTGATTCCCCAGAGATAAGTACGCATTGGTCTCGGAATTCAGTCACGATAGACCGGTAGGCTGTGTTGGCAATAGCATAACTGGATTTATAAAACATTATTTAATGTGTCACCTCTCATAAATTTCACAATATAAAAATGATTTTGTTAATACGTTAAAAAAACCAAAATGATCAAGAGTCTTTAACATTTGTATAGTACGCCAGTAATCAGTGTAAGAAGAAAGCGCTCTGGTTCGCTTTAAGGTACACTCCATGGGCTTGAAAATCCCAAAATGCTGATTGTTGCCATCCTTGGCTTTTTATAAAACCTTAATACACCTTAAAATTGATTTAACCCCTTCCATATTTTTTTCTGCAGCATACCTGACTTTGATATTTCCATTGGGTCTTATAGGAAAATGGTGACTGTTATATTGACTGCCCGGTCATTTTACGTTAAAATCAACCTTCATAAATTTCATCAAAGGTTGAATCCCAATGCAGAGGGGGATTCGTTAGTAAGAGAAATTCGCTTTTTTCCCAGGAAAAACCATTTTGGTGGGCAACTTTCATGGAGTGTACCTTTGAATAAAAAGTAAAACTATACCATACCATGTTGTTTATTTTCGTCATCAGGCCAGTTCTTTAAGAAAGTCTTTAAGTAACTGTATACTCACATGTGAGGTGGGACTTCGTAGAATCCAACATTTTGATATAAAGCCACAATACGGTCGTTGTATATGTTCAAGGTCCTGTAGGGGTTGACTGAAATAAGTACTGGACCGATGTAAGTCTGAAATAGTAAACCTTAGCTTAAAAAAATCATAACAGAATGAATGTGAAGGATTTCTTCAAAATGAGTGGTAGACATATGCAAGGGACGAACCTCAGGACAGGGAGGGACAAAACGCAAAACCTTCTTTCATTTAAGTTTGAAAATGAGGAAAATGCTATAACGTTTGAACGCAGAAGCTGATAGTTAAGAGGTAGAGCTATGTAACGCTATATGTAACAACTACATTTTTTTACAACACAAAAGTACATCATAATCGATTCAATCGCTTTTAAATAGCTTTTACGTGAGTTTTAGATTAGACCAATAAATTGTGTCTTTTAAATCATTCTGTACATACGTATATTAGATCCTCTCGAAATCTTTTCTGTAAGTTATCCACAAAAGCCTGCATGGACTTATAGTCCTCCAAAAGGACACAGTCCTGAACTCCAACTTTAGTTCGAGCACTCAGTGTATCCATGGTTTTCTCTTGGTTTGTTGTCAACATGTTTGAGAAAGGTCCGTGTTCATCTTACGTTGAATGTTTTGTTTCCTTGGCAATATGGCGTATTCATTAACCCCGGATCGCAGTCTCAATTCCACAAATTGGTATTAATCATAGATGTCTCACTCTAGGTTTCATGGTGTCGTGACATATTTGTTATATGACATTATCAACAAGCTGGAATTATAAGCAATAATACGTATGTATAATAACCTTTGATTATCATTTCAAATTAGATTAATTACTAGTAAACGATCCTTCATTACTGAAACGCCCATTTATCCCACCAATTGTGTTTAATGTCCACTGCAATTACGACCTATTAACTCCACCTGCAACTTCACTGGAAAGGTTAATGATAATTGACCCCAGGTTTTTGCTATATCACTAACGTCAGAGAATCCAGCATATGTTTCAAAAGCACAAGTAAAACATTTGCATATCAGTGTACTTACTGTGACCACCGCTGTTTGAAAAAGACTACACAACCAATAAGTATAAAAGTACGTTTGAGTCTACACGTTTTACATATCGAAATCAGCGAACTAATAGGCACGTCAAAGAACAGTTCCAAATTTTGGATAAAGCGAATTTTGAATTTAAGTATATTTTTGCCAGCGTGAAATGTTCAGATTGAGCCTTACCTTGTCATGCAGAGGACTGAACGACTACACAGTCACGTAGGCTCCTAGTTCCACCCACTGTACCACCTGGCTTCATTGAAGTAAGCCTGGTGACAACCGGCCTGTCTAACAGATAGACGGCGACATGGACAGCTGGTGCACGGACAGCTTATGGTCGCAAGTTGTGAAAAGACTTACACAATATGATCAGTCTCTTCGACAGAGCTAAACAATCCCAGACTATTCTGCCCTCAACACATGGAACATTCTGCTTCCTGGGATTCCTTTCCTTGTTATTTTTACATTCCTTAAATATCTTAAATAAACGGGAAATTTTTATGGAAAGCGAAAGAGGTGCATAAATGAAGCGTCACTGGTCTCCCCAAATTAAAGAGGTGAACGATTCTTGTACAAATTAATTACTTTATTGAAGTGAAAGATAAGAGCCAGCTGTACGAGCGCGTAACCGGCTGTAATGAAAGATCAAAGGATGGCAAAAGTAAATGAGTATTATGATAAACATCAAAGCTTTAATTAACTAGGACGTTCACAATATATTTTGTCTAAAAATATAAAGTTAGCTGGACAGTTTCATTTCTTTTTCTATTATCAAACGCCAACGAACATCATGCAAATGTATGGTTGCAATCTAATGAAAAACGTCGGTCCATATTTATGTCGTAAACCGAAATTGTACAAGATATAAACAATTTGCAATCAAGGCAAATTCAGGAAAATTTCAACAAAGACAATAAGTTAACATTAATTATGGCGCGTGAGAATTTTGGCGTCAATATTTCAGGAAGACGCTTCCAATCGAGCAATGACGAAGAGGTTGAAAACCGTCGTTAAAACTTTAGTGCATATATTCAGGGTATCGTCAAGCTGTTGAGCTATTAAAAAATAAACATATGACAAGTGTTCTGTTTTTATGTTACCATATGCAGATACAAAATGTCATCGACTTACTTGAATTTCAGAACCATGTCACGAGTTTGCATACGAATTAGTCACTTTCAAATATTGTATACTTAAAATTAAGCTGCATTCATAAGATTTTAATAAAATCATGATCCTGAAATTCCCATCAGACATATTTAAGTGATTGGCATCCGTTTAAAAATTCCAAAGTCTATTTAATTATATATATCTTACCAGTCATTTAAAAGGTGGTAGAGGAATGACAGATATTTGAATAAATCAACAATTGGAATATATATCATATTTTTGGTCATGTACACATTATAAACTCATTCATTATTGCGCCAGATGGCGATTGCTGATGGCGCCTTAAACAGCTGATCGTGACTTGTACTTGTCAAAACTATGTAAATAAAAGTGTCCTGATTTGTCTGCAAAAAAAGATAATTCTAGGCACATTTCTAATATCATAAATTGGGGGGGGGGGGGGGGCTTCCACCTTTATTTCAGCATTTTTTTCACAAAATAGATACTTATATTGATTATAACTATATTGAAATAGAGAACAACAATCATTGTTGAATACACGATATGACACTTTTAACTTTCATCAACAAGAAGCAACTAAAATGGTTTGTATTTACACTTATTTTACGTTTTCACACACTTGTGGAACTTTGGCATTAGGAAAGATTAGTATTCAATTAATGAACTCAGACTCTTTCCTTATTACAATACTGGTTCTTACTCACAATGCCACACTGAAAGGGCTAAGTCAATTCAAGTTGTTCAAATAAATACATACAGTGCAGATTTTAGTTTTGTATATGTCACACATTCAGTATGAGGGATAAATAATAAACCCATTAAATTACATGAAAGCACTTATTGCAACTCCAAAAGAATTCAGTTGTAACTGGTTTTCAGAGCAACCAGAGTCAATAAAATAGGGATGGATCCATGAATTTGACTGTTTATATTATTCACTCTTAAATATGTAATACATACATATCTTATACATTGAATAGTTTGCATAAAATTAGGTTGAATTCATTAGTATCAAATCAAATAACAAGCACTCTCAGAAAAAAAATGCTAGCTTATTATATCCATGATGCTCAAATTAAAATTAAGTATTTGGAAATGTCCACATTATCTTTAAAATGGCAATGTTACACTTTGTAAAAAGCTCACTAAATGCAACAGATGGGTTCTTAAGGTCACCATAACAACCTTGTTTCAGAGAGTTTTTTTTATAAGCACACAAAATCATCAAAAGAAATGGATTCTCCCAGAAAATCTTCAAATGTTTTCCTCAATATTATTCTATCACAATACACTACTATTTTCATTGAAAATATACTTCATGGAATATAAACTTCACATCTTTGACTTGAAATATCTTTTGAATTCCTGCCGGGCTATGGCTCTCATATGGACCTCATCTGGACCATCAGCTATCCTTAATATTCTTGCCCACATGAACATGGCTGCCAATGGAACATCAGAGTTCACTCCAGCCCCACCAAAAGCCTAGAACAGAAAACTTAAATCCTGACAGAAAGTTGAGCACATCAAATGGACGCCAAGAGGACAGGAAGAGTAAGATGCAGCAGAGAGTTACAGCTTTGATTTCAATAACTTCCTGAGTTCCCCCCTGGCTATAGAGCGTAAATGAACTTCATCAGGACCATCTGCCAATCTGAGTGTTCTTGCTGCAGCAAACATGGCAGACAGTGGAATGTCGGAATTGACCCCAGCACCTCCATGAGCCTATGGTTATAATGCAACAAATGACAAAATGCAAAATGTACAAAGTGTAAGTTGCACAAATAGAAAGTTAAAAAAAAATGTAGACCTTCACAAACTGAAGCAAATATCCAAACAATACATAGAAAAGTGAGTACCAGCACGAGATGGTGATTATATTAGTTATAACAATAAGTTAGCATTTCCAATATAGTAACTCTACCTTGTGACAGTGTTTGCCTTTCTTGTAATGTATTGTCTTATTTTCTGTATTATTATTAGTGTAAGTTAACATTTACAGAACACATTTTTAATAACTTAAAGTAGCAAAAATTGTTTTCACCTGAATTGCTCTATCAATCACATTAAGTGCCATGTTAGGAGCTGCCACTTTTATCATTGCTATCTCTGGAGCAGCAACCTAGAGGCAGAGACAAATATAAAATTCAACTTTCAAAGTTTATGTTGAAGCACAATCGGTATTAGCTCTATCAGAATCACTTTTAGACAAAACAAAATGAAGAATATATTAAGCAAGATCAAACTTTGCATAAAGCTACACTATACATAAAATGATAAAATAAAACTCACTTTCAAAAACAGTTTCAGAATTAAGACAAATTACTTTTAAACTGTTACTTTCAAAAGATGCAAGCAGACATTATACATACATGACAACTCTTACAGCACCAGATGCTAGTTTAACACAGTGATAATTCTCAAGCATGAAATAATGCCCTGGTCTCCATCTAATACCTTATTTCCTACAGTGTCCATCATATGGGCAGCTTTGAGCACCAACAGTCTGGTCTGTTCTATCTCTATTCTAGACTTGGCAATGTCAGCTCTGATGGTCCCTTGATCAGCAAGAGGCCTACCAAAGGCAACACGGTTCTGAACCTACACAGAAAAGTGAATATATAAAGATACTATTATTTTAACATACGTCAAAACAAACCTGCCATTCCCTATCAGACGAGATCAAAGTTTTCACATTTTTCTTTCACTATAAAAACAATTTTCTTGACTATTTAGTTTAATTCATTCTTACATCTCCATAGGGATATTGCATTTTCCTTGAAAATTTCTTTTTAAAAATTAATAAATACATAAAGCAGTGGATTTTTTATAGTAAAACTATATTTCAATTGCTCTTACTCTATCTAACATAAGATCCAAAGCTCTCTCAGCAGATCCTATCAGTCTCATGCAGTGGTGGATTCTTCCTGGGCCAAGTCTACCCTGGGCAATCTCAAAGCCTCTCCCTTCACCCAGCAGTAGATTACAAGCTGGCACTCGAACATTCTCAAACAACACTTCTGCATGGCCATCTGTGAAAACAAAATAATAAATTTCCTTTAGTTTAGGTTTAAAATCTTTAACAACAGAACAGGGGCAACCTCCATGTTTACAAACAAAAAATAAATAAAACTGCTTATGAACTGTTGGTGGTAAATTTAATTATGGAACTCAAATTTGCACTTCAGCTCAAATTGTTTAATTCTAAATTATCACAATATCCTTTAAGAGGCTCTGAAAGTTAAGAAACACAAAAACATACGTGGTGCATCCTGGGATCCGAACACATTAAGAGGCCTCAGTATTTTCACCCCTGGGGCATCCATTGGCACCAGGATCATACTCTGCTGTCTGTGCATTGGTGCCTCAAGGTCTGTCTTACCCATAAATATGGCCAATTTACAACGGGGATCCATTGCACCTTAATCAATATATGAATGAGAAAACCCAAAATCTATATAATGTAAGACAACTCACATCATTACCCAATCACTTACAAGTTACCACCAAACAAAAAAAAAAAAAAAAAAAAAAAAAAAAAAATTTATCAAAAAAAATTTAAAGGAAAAAAAAATTTTTTTTCTTTTTTAAAATTGAAAATTTTTTTTTT